AAAAAAAAAATATATATATATATATATATATATATATATATTCTTTTGGCCATTGCATTTTACATATGGGTTTGTACTGGTGGCTGTATAGTACGAGTTCCGGAAGAAACCTAAAGTTATCAGGCAGTAGTTAGTGACAGGGAAGTAGTTGGCTATTTTGATAAAGTATTTTTATTAACAAAGTGAATCAATTTTTTACTATACCTAGGACCTGATTCTGTAAGTAAATTTGCTTTATGCTGATACAGATTTGAATTTTGAACACAATTACATCTGTTATTATAATGCTTTCTATATCATGGCGTCTTGTGTGTGTGCTTGTGGTATGAGTATTGGCATCCCTCCCTTGTTAACTTCATCCTGGTCACTTTCCTTCTTCACAGTTACCACTACAACTTAGTTATGTTTCAAAGTTCATGTTTTTAGTCATTTCTATTTATATTTAATACTGGATATGTACTTTGATTGATTTGGCTCTTGGAAAATATTTTTAATATAGCTAAGTGGAACGTCAAAACTACTAAAACATTGGGACTGGTCTGTCTAAGCTTCTTATATTCCATATATTGTGTGTGAGCATTGTATTGGACTTGTGAATGATGCTTCATTACTATATGAACTGCTTTCTAAACTTGCACTTTATATCCACTGATATTGATGATAAGTATGGTTCTTGTTGTTTTTGCATGAGTTAATCGCTGTCGAAAAGCTCTTAAGGTTTTGGGTTTAGATTGAGTGACACTATGGAATAAAAGCAGTTCCATCTGAATTATTCAAGCAAGTACATTTGAATGGGGACACTTTTTATTTTTGTACATGTGTTTGCATTTAATCTTGCACTTATTTTTACCATAAGCAAATTTTTATACCTTTGCTGCTTATGTCACATGTTCCTTTTTCTCCTATTGTAACTTTGTTATTTCTTCCACCATGCATGTTTAATTGTTTATGAAGAGTGTACTTATTTTTAAATTGATTGCTTGCAGATGGACCCCTTATGGAAATACTAAGTGCATCATTTGCAAGCAGCAAGTGCACCAGGATGCTAAGTACTGCCACACCTGTGCTTACTCTAAAGGTTCTATTTACATGTCGAGATGTTTCTGCATTTGCTACATACATTTTGTTGGTACATTAACTAAATGTGTTCTGTCATGATTCATGAAAGTACATGACTCAATTCCTTATGTGTTCTGTATGGCAGGAGTTTGTGCAATGTGTGGCAAGCAAGTTCTTGACACCAAGCTTTACAAACAAAGCAATGTGTAGTTAATACTGGTACTGCGTGCTGCATCTTCTTTTAGATGCATAATAGCATTGCCTTTGTTTCTGATTGTCCAGTTCATCGTTTGCTAACAATGTAACTGAAGTTGTAAAGAACAAATACAGTGAGGGAGTTTTCTGTTATCTGTCTTTGGTAATGTATTTACAGAATATTTATTCTAGATCCAAAACATATATACTAATGGCGTTGAATTCTGTTCTATTGACTTCTTACGATGCTGTTGGGTTGAGTAACATGCTAAAATCCTCATTCCCGCATGCATTGACCCAGTTTGGATAAATTTCTCAACAACTACTTATAGAAGTTTGATTTAACTTCTAAAAGCTTAAGTGTATAAGTTGGTTTAACAAATGAAAAAAGTTTGATTTTTTATTTTTATTTTTTACAAATAAATTTATCTAAATTAAATATATGCTTATTGTCTAAAGATAACAAACTCGGATGTTTGGGGGCTTATTCACGTTCAGTCACTAATTATTTCACTCAATTGAGGGTCCTTTGGAAGGAACATGAGAACTAGAATGTTCCTGTCTTGTTCAATGTAATTGCGAGGCTACGAAGAACTCGAAGCTTTACAGACAACTAGGTTATGTCATTCGTTTCTTGATGGGACTCAATGATAGTTTCGCTGTTGCAAGATCCCGAATCCTTTTGATGGAACCACTTCCACCACTGGATCGTGTATTTTCAATGGTAATTCAACATGAGAGACAAAATGGACTAACTGCATCAGAAGACATTTCTGTGTTGGTAAATGCAACTGATGGCAGAAAGTTTAGTGAAAAGGGAAAATCAGGTTCCTACAGCAATGTTTGTACCTATTGATGAAGGTAAGGTCACACTATTGAAACTTGTTATAGGAAACATGGTTTTCCTCCTGGTTCTAAGTATAAAGGGGGAAATTCCATAAATAATGTACATGGTGAACAAGATTGTCAAAGTGAAGTAGTGTCAACAGAGAAGCAACTGTTTAATCCTAATTTCACACCTGAAGAGTACAAAGCATTGTTGGGTTTATTGAAGCATGTTAATGTTCAGAAACCAATAGATATTCAAGATTGCAAGGGAGAGTCTAGTGTTAATCAAATCAATTTGATCTGCAATGACAAGAAAAATTCAAATAAATCTTCAATTTCTAATGAAGGTATTAGATATGCTTTTTTAAATCACGAGAATGAAAAAGCAGATTTATGGATCATAGACTCCGATGCCACAGATCATGTTTGCTTTTCTAAATCTTGGTTTCATTCGTTCCATAAGGTTTCTTCTGTGCATGTAAAATTGCCAAATGGTAACTCAGTTATAGCAAATACTGTTGGAAGTATTAAGTTTTCATATTCTTTTACACTAGATGGTGTATTGTTCATACCTGAATTCAATTTTAATTTGATATCAGTCTCTAAGCTTGCAGCCTTATCACAATATAAGTTTATCTTCACTGATGAGTCTTGTATTATTTAAGATTTATCCTCGAAGAAGATTGGTTCAGGTAGATTTTCAAAGGCCTTGTACCACTTGAATCACACTGATGAAAGGACTTGAGAGGGATCAAAGTATGTTCATAATGTAAAATAATGTTGCTTACCAGTCTAATTGTTGCCCAAAATCTGCAATTCAGCATTTTAGATTTGGACATGTTTCTAATGATCGTTTAACGATATTGTGTAAACAATTTTCAATAGTTGACATGATTAAAGAAGAGGCATGTGATGTGTTATTTAGCTAGACAGAAAAGAATTCCATTTACTTTGAGTAAAAGTAGAGCTGCTAACTGTTTTTAACTATAGCATGTGGACATTTGGGGGCACTTCTCAACTGTTTCAATCCATGATTATAGTTATTTTTTAACCTTTGTGGACGATCATAGTAGATTTACTTGGGTTATTATGATGAAAGGAAAATATGAGACACAAATACAGTTGCAAAAATTCATTTGTTTGGTTGAAAATCAGTTTGAATCTAGTGTTAAGGTCATTGGGAGTGATAATTGCCCTGGATTTGTTATGCTTTCGTTCTACGGTTTCAAAGGCATAATTCATCCAACTAGTTGTGTTGAGACCCCACGACAAAATTGACATGTGGAGAGAAAACACTAAGCACATTTTGAATGTGGCTAGGGCCATGATGATACAATCATGTCTCCCCAGGTATTTATGAAGCTATGCAATTTTGCATGCTGTGTTCTTGATCAATCGAATTCCATCTAGGTTGCTTGATGATCAATCTCCTTTTCAGTTGCTGCATGGAATATTGCCTGATATAAAAACATTTCGAGTCTTTGGATCCTTGTGCTATGCTTCCACAAGCTTAGCTCAAAGATCGAAATTTGATCTTAGAGCACGCAAATGTATTTTTCTGGGGCAAAAATCAGGTACAAAGGGCTATATTGCATATGATGTTCATACTATAGAAATCATTGTCTCACGCAATGTGATGTCTCATGAGTTAATTTTCTTCCATCCTCTGCCAAACCCACAATAGATTGTATTCCTGTACCTACCGATTCTTGTCAACTACTCACACTTTACCACCACCACCTTCTTCACTTCCTCCATCAACACCTTCCCCTTTACCACTTATTCTACCTATTATTACTATTAAATCGACTCTAATAATTTATATTATTTCAATTCTATCATTAAATCAACTCTAGTAATTTAAAATCATATTTAAATACCAACGTTAATAGTTTATTTAAATTATAGCAACTTTTACGGTTCTTAAATTAGATTAATTTTTCTATACTTTAACTCCTAAATAGCTTTTAAAATAAAAATATACTTCAAAATCAATTTTAACTAAAAATAATTTTATGAAGTTAATTTAATTTTAATGATTCATATTTTTATGAAGTTAATTTAATTTTAATGATTCATATTACTATTAAATTGACTCTAATAATTTATATTATTTTAACTCTATCATTCAACCGACTCTAATGATTTAAAATCATATTTAAATACCAACAATCGTTAACAGTTTATTTAAATTATAACAACTTTTCTGGTCCTTAAATTAGATTAATTTTTCTATACTTTAACTACTAAAGAGCTTTTAAAATAAAAATATACTTCAATTTTAACTAAACATGATTTTATGAATGTTCAACCAAATATACACTTAATAGAAAAGGGGCTAGGCATGTCTTTGAAATGATCAAGGTCCACTTATGAGTCTAAAACTACTTGGTCAACTTCGATGTGGGTTCATGAAGGGGAGAGCTACAGTATTACCACATGCGCCAACAACCTAGGCATGGAGGAGGCCTTTTAGTTTGGGAGTATCATCAAAGTGCAAGGAAAATTTGGCTTAAGAGGACTTTGACTACTTCTATGGTTAATCACCAATCACCACATGCCGACATATATTGCGAATCCTATAGGTAATTCTGATAAAAAAAAATGATTTTGAAATAAAAATTTTAAAATATCAAGTATAAGAAGATATCAAGTGTAACTACGCCAAATTTCCCCTTCATAATTTAAAATCAATTTTATATCATTGTGCAGAAAAATATCATATAGCTAATGAAAATTGTTTGTTTATCTAAATATGCGTTATGATTGTAAAAATTATCATTTAGCTAATGGGATTATCGTGGTCGTTTTAATAATACTTCTTTGTGGGTCCGTTATACAAAATATTGCATAAAAATGGTGATAGCAGGGCCTTACATATGTTGTTATAGATGAGATTCTTTTATGTGAACATGTTTCATCCGAAATTAAAATCCAACAGCTATTATCCAATACGGATATATCCAACCTCTCCAGCTAAAATCAAGACCACACATTGCCGAGTTCTGTAAGACAAGGTCACAAATATGACATGCATCAAGTGAATCAAAAAACTTACATTTTATGGACCATCGAAACATGTATATCAAAGACACCTATCCTAGAAAAAGAAAGGAATCTCCCATCTCGCGTTTCTTCCAGCGTGAGAAACGGCTTTAACAGATACAGCCATCTCTAGATCTAGAAAAAGATGGGTCACAATCCCCAGCCTGGTGGCTTCTTCAAAACAATCCGAAGAAAAACTACCCCAGGCAACCAGTTCCATTGTATTCGACAATTCAATGGATTCGAACAAAATTCACTCTTCAAACAAGTCTTAATCGCAACAGAATAATAATAATAATAATATATCACAAATTCACTCATTGCAATGGTAGATAAGAAAAGTACGATAGCATTAACGAGATAACAAGAGTCCAATATAAACCAAACTTATTTTTACGGGTCAATAGAGACCCAGTACACATGAGTTGTTGAAATGTTTGGAACCATCCATCATCACACAGAAATCACCCACAAGCTTAAAAACCCCCACGAAGACGCAGGACAAGGTGAAGGGTGGACTCCTTCTGAATATTGTAGTCGGCAAGGGTCCTCCCATCCTCCAGCTGCTTCCCTGCAAAGATCAACCTCTGCTGGTCCGGTGGGATGCCTTCCTTGTCCTGGATTTTCGCCTTCACATTGTCAATGGTGTCCGAGCTCTCCACCTCCAAGGTAATGGTCTTACCCGTGAGAGTTTTAACGAAAATCTGCATTCCTCCCCTGAGACGGAGGACAAGGTGGAGGGTGGACTCCTTCTGAATGTTATAGTCAGCAAGGGTCCTTCCATCCTCAAGCTGCTTCCCAGCGAAGATCAACCTCTGCTGGTCCGGGGGAATACCCTCCTTATCCTGGATCTTGGCCTTCACATTATCAATAGTGTCCGAACTCTCCACCTCAAGGGTAATAGTCTTACCCGTGAGGGTCTTCACGAAGATCTGCATACCTCCCCTCAGACGGAGGACAAGGTGAAGGGTTGACTCCTTCTGGATGTTATAGTCCGCAAGGGTCCTTCCATCCTCGAGCTGCTTACCGGCGAAGATCAACCTCTGCTGGTCTGGGGGGATTCCCTCCTTGTCCTGGATCTTAGCCTTCACGTTATCAATGGTGTCCGAGCTTTCGACCTCGAGGGTGATGGTCTTTCCTGTAAGGGTCTTCACGAAGATCTGCATACCACCACGAAGACGCAACACCAAGTGAAGAGTTGACTCCTTCTGGATGTTATAGTCAGCGAGGGTGCGGCCGTCCTCGAGCTGCTTGCCGGCGAAGATCAACCTCTGCTGGTCTGGGGGGATTCCTTCCTTGTCCTGGATCTTAGTTTTCACGTTGTCGATGGTGTCGGAGCTTTCGACCTCGAGGGTGATTGTCTTGCCAGTGAGGGTCTTAACGAAGATCTGCATGCCACCACGGAGACGGAGGACGAGGTGAAGGGTTGATTCCTTCTGGATGTTGTAGTCAGCGAGGGTGCGTCCGTCCTCGAGCTGCTTTCCGGCGAAGATGAGACGTTGCTGGTCCGGGGGAATTCCTTCCTTGTCCTGGATCTTAGCCTTGACGTTGTCAATGGTGTCAGAGCTTTCCACCTCGAGGGTGATGGTCTTGCCGGTGAGGGTCTTAACGAAGATTTGCATCTGCAGAGTCAACATAGATAAGTCACAATTAAAAGCCGTGACCTAATTGAACAGTTTCTGATTGAATCAAGTAAAATTCAAGAACCGATCTACAGAATTTCATGGAAAAAAAAATCCTAATATACAAAAAATAAGGCGGTTGTGAACAGAACAGAACAATTTCTTGAAAAAGTTCTATAAAATCAAAATATAAGGTGGTCCTTATTACAGAATTTCATGAAACAGCACTAGCCTACTATTACAGAATCAACAAATATGTGATACTGTTGTTAACAGATTTCCAGAATTTTATGGATACACTCCAATTAAATCTAATCTACAATTATAAAATCAACAATTAAGGACGATGAATTAAGGAACGATGAAACTAGATCTGACGATGAATTTAGGAACGATAAAACAATTTAAAAACTACGAGAAGAACATCATGCAAATCTTTAACTTTTAATAATAAGACGCTTATTAGACAAGAACAAATAATCCACCAAACGAAAGACGGAAGAAAAGAGAAGAAATAGAACGAACCTTGAAGAGAGATAGGGAACTGCGCAAGGGATTGACCTAATTTGATTGAAAATGAATTGCGAAGAAATGAGGAGAGGTTGTGGCATTTTATAGCAAGAGCGGTGGAACCCTTGTCCAGTCATATTGCGACGCGTGTGATGATGGTTGGTATCGGATGCCTTTCGAGGGAGTCTTTCTAGGAAATTGAGAATTGCAATTTGCGGAGTAGTTGGCAATTTCGTATTCTTGACGTTGGCTTTATCTGCTACGACGGCGTTATTATATTGGGCCCCACGTCACAATTTGGGTCCTCACTATTGCAAGTGGAGCGCCTCAGCTTTATACGGGCCCATTGTCAATAATGTAAACGCTCGAATGTTATTTTACATTATTAAATTCTAGGCCGATGATATATACACCTCCATTTTTTTATACATACACCCTTTTTTTAAAAAAAAAATATTAAATTTCTAAATTATCCTTAATATTATTTAAAATAAAAAAAAATTATTCTGGAAAGTTTTTTTCGGAGGTGTATTTGTACATAATTATAGAAAGTTCTTTCCGGAATACTAAAATTACTATTCCGAAAATAACTTTCCGTCGGAATAATTCTGGAAAGTACTTTCCGTAACACTAAATTACTATTGCAGAAAGTTCTTTCCAGAATTATGGCAACAAATACACACACGGTTAATATTCCGGAAAGAATTTTTCGCAATAGTAATTCTAGTGTTACGAAAAGTATTTTTCATAATTATTTTGAAGGAAAGTTATTTCCGGAATAGTAATTTTAGTATTTTGGAAAGTACTTTCTATAATTATTCTGACGGAAAGTTCTTTTCGGAAGGCTCATGATATATATACCTCCTGTTTTTTTTTATAAGTACACCTTCTTTATTTTTTTAAAAAAACTATAAAATATTATACTTTTTTTATAAGTACACCTTCTTTTCGGAAGGCTCATGATATTCTACTTTTTTCTTTTTTTTCACACACTTTTTTTTTCTCTTTCAATTTTTACATGTTACCAAAATAGGTAGGGTGAAGGAAAGATAACGGGGTGCATGTAAAAATTAAAAAAAGAAAAAAAAAGAAAGATCTTTAAAAAAAAATACTAAACTAAATGTTGTGAATGTAAAATTAAAAAAAAAAAAAGAAAAAATTTAAGAATTTTTTAAAATTTTAATTATTTTTTTGAAAAAGAGGTGTACTTATAGAAAAAAAAAAGAGGTGTATATATCATCAACCTTTGAAAAGCACTTTTCCAGAATATTTTTTATTTATTTCAAATAATATTAAGGTAATTTAAGAATTTAATAATTTTCTTTTTAAAAAGGGGGTGTATTTATAAAAAAATGAAACCTAAATTCTATTCAAAACCTATCTTGAAAGATTTTTTTTTCGGCCCAAAATTAAATGTTGTGAATGTAAAATTAAAAAAAAAAGCAAAAATTTAAGAATATTTTAATATTTTAATTATTTTTTTGAAAAAGAGATTTTTTTTTGGGCCCAAAATTAATAATTGAAAAGCTTTCATGCTATGTAACAAAAAAGTTTTATAATTGCCTTTTCAGGTTTCAATTAATATCATAATTATTTTACTAATTTGTTTTACTCTTTTTTTATCTTATTTTATAAATAGATACGAGAATATAACAAGCTTTAAATAAGAATTTATGATTTAATTTATTTAAACTTTGACTTAACTTATTTAATAAATATATTAAATTAAATTTTTTTAAAACTTATTTATTTAACCAGACTACACTTGAATTTATAAAAAAAATAATTAAATTTAATAAGTCAATCTATTTATTTAAATATTATAATAAAAAATAATATAAATATTATATTATTAACGATATATTCAAATAAATAAAATTGTAATATAAAAAGTTAAATTATTAAAAAAAGCTTATAATAAATAAAAGATTCGACTTGTAAGTGATGGAATCACCAATAAAATAAAACTAAAAACATAAATAATATTTTTTTAATAGATATGATTACATAATATTTCAAAATTAATAATTAAAGAATAATTTATCTTGCAGTGACTTAAAATGTAAATAATAATGATGTTAAAGAAAATGCAAGAGTGATAAGTACCATAATCTAATTTTCATTTGAGTATGATATATACGGAGTCGATTGAAAGTGTTAAACTAATAAATATATTTAAGTCATTAATTTAAGTAATTTAGTATTTTTTACTAAAAATGAAAATTCATCTGTAATTTATAAATGTAAATATAATTGAATTACAATATTTTAATATTATTTTATATTTAATATTTATAAATTCTTAATTGTTTAAATTAAATTTCTCACTTTATATTTTTATTTAATTATTAATAGAAATATAATAAAATATAGAAGAATTTTATTTTTACATATTAATATAAAATATATAAAATATTTTCATCAGAATGAAAAATGAACTTTGTTATCTTTTACACATTTTCATTTTATATATTCTTTATTTTAATAATTTATACATATCAGTGACACATTGCACTTTTACTATAATTTTATTAATTATGGAATAGGTTTTTAAGAAGCGATTTTTCTTACTTACTTAATTAATTAATCACAAAACTAAATATAGGTTGATAAAATTAGAAAACTATTAATAAAATCTAATATTGTTATAAATTTATTTATATCAAATTTGATTACGATGAATAAAAGAAATTAGAAAAACTAAAATTACATATGTTAAAGGATGGACTTATGAACACAAAGGGAATTACCACATAAACATACTGAGTCAATATTTACCTAACTCCGTGGATATTTTACTATAATAAATTGTTTACGGTATATATCTAAATTTTCAACAGCAAAATTTGACAAAGAAAATATTTAAAAGAGAGAAAATCACTATCTTCCTTATAAAAGACGTTGTGAGTGAGATTAATGATTATATTATATGTGATTAACTAATATTGTAACACCCTCAATCGATATCGATAACAAGTATAATATTAATAGTATCTTGTAAAGTTTACGTGACATTTATCTTATATTAAAATATATGAAGTTTTTCTTCCCCTAACTTACATAATGAAAATAAATACATACAAATTCAAATTAATAGATAGATTGCACACTGTTTGAACCATAAGAGCTAAATTCAAAGGCAGATGATAAACACATCTCCACTCTCTTATAAACACACCTCCTTTTTAAAAAAGATATATAAAATGTCTAAATTACCCTTTAAAAAAATAAAATACCTAAATTTACACCCCCCTTCCCCGCCCCCCCTTTCGCCGTATCCCCTTCCCCGCATCCCACACCCCCCTTTCCCGCACCCCCACACCCCACACCCCCCTTCTTCCTAAAGCCTCTTTTCGCTCAATGTCATCAAGTAACTTTCAAGATAATTCTGATAATTTCTTGGCCTAGCGTCTCCATTGCTACGTCCACCATTATTGCCTCCTCGAGGTCGTCCCGAGAACTCACCCCGTTTCTCAAAATCATTCCTACTTCCATACTTGCCACCACGGCCACCACCAAAGTTGCCACGGCCTCTGAAGTTATCATTTCTGTCATTTCTGCATCCACTCCTGATGAATATCTCATCCTATCATTATTAGCTGTAACAAAAAAGAATGCACACGTTAACAGAGCAAAATTTCACGTAATACATGCATTAGGCATTGAACGATATCGATAACGTAAGCGAGTGTTAAGAGTGCAAGTTTAGGCATAACGTAAAGGTGCATAGCTTTATGTGCACGCTCTGAGTCTCAACTCTCAACTCTCATGTCACTGTCTTTTGACAACGTGGATCTCCTCTCTCAGCTCGTGATTTTCCTTTTAGGTTTTTGTTTTTGTCATAGATTTGAAATCCTCTTATTGTAGGTTGGGCAAAAATGCTAAAGGTACCGGAGCACCAGGTGGCGGGGCACAAGGCCAAGGACGGAGTCCTGGGCCCTCTGGTGGATGACACGGGAAGATTCTACAAGCCTCTCCAAAACAACGACCGCGGCTCCAGGGAGCTGTCGTTTTACTCCTCTCTCTCCTCCCACCCAAGCATCCCCCTGCCCTTCTCCCCCGCCTTCCACGGCACCAAAGTGGTGGAGGCCTCCGACGGCTCCGGCCCCCACCCCCACCTGGTCCTGGAGGACCTCCTCCGCGGCTACGCCAAACCCTCCGTCATGGACGTGAAGATCGACTCCCGTACCTGGCACCTCGGAGACTCCGATGACTACATCGCTAAGTGCCTGGCGAAGGACCGAGAGTCCTCCACCATTCCCCTTGCCTTCAGAATCTCCGGCGACGCCCTCTCCGCCTGGGAGCCCCCCCGCAAGTCCCTCCAGAGCCTCTCCGCCCACGACGCCCTTTTCATTCTCAGGAAGTTCGTCTCCTCCAACGCTCACCTCCACCATTCCCCTTGCCTGTGGCGTGTAACTAGAATCATGAGCTGGTGTGGGGTGTGAGGGTGCGGGGAAGGGGGGTGTGGGGTGAGGGGAAGGAGGGTGCGGGAAAGGGGGTGCGGGGAAGGGAGTGTAAATTTAGGAATTTTTTTTAAGGGTAATTTAGATATTTTATATTTTTTTTTTTAAAAAGGGGGTGTGTTTATATGAGAGTGGAGGTGTGTTTATCATCTGCCAAATTCAAATTGTAGTAATTTAAAAAATTTGGGCCAGAGTATGACTTATTAATTGGGCCAGAATCCAAATTGCAGTCCTTCTCTAATGGATTTTTTTAAAGGAGGGTGCGATTTGTCAACAAGAGTTCGAGACTTGAATTTAGTTGAGGTCATTTATTTAGGACTTCCAAAAAAAAAAGATTTTGATATTACTAAAACAAAGAGGAATTTTATTTAGAGGTACAGCAACAGGTACTTGAAATGCAACAGATGGTATCTCTCTCAAGCGTTCCATTGAAACCAGAGACAGCTTCACTACTCTCGTTGATTAGGAAGATGTCTCTTCTGAAAACAGAGAACCAGAGTATTTTGGCTAAAAAGATGGAGAAACCAACTCAATTCTTCTTTGCAATTGCGCTAGAAAGAAACAAAAGAAAATCACCGGTACATAGGCTCCAATACAAAATCGGTGGCCAAAATTAAGCTCCATTTATTTTAAAATTAAATTGAATTAATTTTAATAAAAATAATTTTAAATTTCTTAGTATTTTACCCAATTAATATTGCCAACAAATTTCAAATTATAATATGCTTCCTTAGAGTTAATTTTAGAAGTTTGCAGAAAGGACACATATCCTGGACGGTTCCCTTTTCCCAAATCATTTCAGCTTTGCCTTTGGTACAAGTATTTGTATTTGTGATATAAATGGCATATTTTGTGACAACAAAGGCTATTCTGCATTACGGACTTCCACTAGTTCAGGAAGCAAAGGCCAAAAGCTTTTTTGGAATTAACGTTTTAAAAATTGTACCACTCATTAAATTAGTTAGGTACTTGATCACTGAGTTAGAAATCATATTAGTAGGTAACTGATTAAATCGTATAATCTGACTTCTATTAATTTTTTCTATAAAAATATTTGTAATATCTACAAAATTTAATAAATTTCATACCATATTTTAAAAAGTTTTTAAAAATATTATAATCAATATAATACTCGTATAATAACTTAATTATAGACTAATTTTGAATCAAATAAATTAATATATAATTTTAAATTGAAAAATATTATATAAATTATTTAAGTCAAATGTACTATAATAAAATATGTTAATGAAAATAAGATATAATTTAATTTAAGTATATATGTTATATTTGTTTAAATATCCTCAACTCATGGAACCGTGATTTGAAACTTGCCTCAAGCCTTTTTAGGTATATTTCACAAAAACATCATCACCGCACAATAATTGAAGTCAGTCCAAATATTTGACGGTTGAACCGGATTTAATATTATTTTTCTTTATCAAAACTGTGTGCAGGGTAGAGGGAGGGGATATGTAGGGGCATGGTCCTCCAATTTTTTTTAAAATGTATTAAAATTATTTTAAAAATTTAATAAAAAAAATATTATAAGTTGATAGATGAAAATTATCGTGTTAGATAACATTAAAGAAAAATGAGAAAAATAGATGAAGAATTGATTTATAATATGATAGGAAGAGGGACAGAAAAAAGTATAAATAATAATGAAGTATTTATGATGCTAGACTGGTTACATATAAGTGTTAAAAAACAATCTTGACACCTCTCAAATCAAATTTCTAGTTCAACTCTTAATTGTGTGATCAATTTTTTTTTTAAGAGATAAGCAAACCAAATTAGTCATACTTTAAATATAGTATTTCATTTGCATCCCACGTTTCATGTTTTTTTTATTATTTGATTTTGTACCTTTCAGATTCTCAATTGATTGAATTGATTGATTATAGGTTTTTTTCACTTGTAACGATCAAACATGGAGGGTCACATAGCCTCCAACTCTTGATCCAACCGAGTAAGTTGAATAAAAAGTTACTCATTATCGAGTTGGTTCCCTAAAACTAATCAAGGTCATGATGATTCTTGCACAAATTTGATTACCCTTATAAATATGATTTATAGACTTATTGTGGGAAATAAACTCGATGTGTATTTTAAGGGATTGGGATGAGAAGAAAAAATTTGTATCCTTAATATGACATCCATATATATATATATATATACACTAATATATAAAGAAGATACTACTTTTGATTTTTATTTTTACGTGAAGCATTTTATGATTTGTTTATTTTTCAATAACTACATTTTTTTATAAGTAACTTCTCATTTTTTTTCTTATTTATTTATTTTTAAATACAATGCAGGCACAAAGTGCCTTTTTTCTACTAGTATATATATAAAGAAAAATGGGTTTTACAAAAGTTAGGTTACATTTATCGAATATTCTGAATTTGGACAATAATTAGGTTCTCTTAAAATTTGTATTTGACTGCTATCCCTTTATTGAAACAAATTCCTACTTGTTTTAACTTTATAATTATTACAAATGAAAATGATATAATAAGTTTCTTATTGTAAAAAAAAATCTAATAAAAAATAAAGTTTTTTTTTCTTATAACATATCATGTTATTTTAATATATCATATTATTACATTTTATATTACATATATTATAATCTTATAATAATGTTTAATTGAATTATTCTTTCTTCCTTATTTATTCATTATTTATGAATTCTCTTATTTAAACTATCTAACTTAGGTTCTGTATTGAATAGGATTTTAAAATATTTTAAAAAATATCATAAAAATTATAATAGTCAATCAAGACTTTTAAACAATAATTTTGTCTCGTCTCTTTTTCTACATTTGCAAATGCATTGCTACCTTCTTTATGCATAAAATTATATTCGTTTGTAAGAAAATTTATTTGGACCAACATCTTTAAATTTGTTGAGGAATTTTGTCGGAAATCCTATATTGATAATTGATTTAGTTAAAATAATGTATATAAATATGGGACAACCATATGTATTAATTTTGAAGGTTATGTCAGGCCAAGTCCAAAATCTAATTTCCGAACAGAGATAATAGTTATTGAGAAAGTCACCACCTTCGTTTTTATTGACAACATGCGGTACTTTTAGAATTTTTGTAAATGTACACTCGAATATAAATTAAAGTACAAGAATTGAAACTCACAGGGTTGTGTTTTCGTAGTACTTAAGTAAGGTCAAAACTAATTTTTTTTTAAGAATTGGGTACCCCATTCCATTGGCCAGTTTTAAAGCTAATGTATACAGACTAAATACTATTAAAGAAATATAAAATGCAGTATTTAAACTAAGCTCATTATATTATTTATGATAAATTATTGTAACAGTCATTTAATGAATGAAACTTAGATGTAATGGTATAATTTCAATAAAAAATAAGTCTTTGGTTTGAGTTTTATAAATGAAAAAAAAAAAAAGAAAAGATTTCACCGAAAACATTTTAATTTGTATTTAAAAAAAAAACATAGTTTGATACTTGTATTTTTGTTGATTGAATGGCATGAAAGGTTGATGTGGTTTTGTTTTCCAAGCACACACAGCTAGGCTTCATACAAAATTCTTATTTGTTATACAAAAACTACAACAGCCAAAGTTTGATACAACTTACGAGAGAGCTAGTCTTCATCTTCAGGGACGTGATCATATTCCTTCATGTATTCTTCATCAAAGGTGCAAATGATGTCACCGTGCTGAACTTTGTGCCATAGAAACGACCTCGTTTCTACCATCGCATTCTCTTTGTAAAGGAAAATATAATGACCCCGATGGGGAAGACGAAACCTAACCCTCTCGTGAATCTCCTCAAGCCTCTCCCGCAACACTGTCACTTTCTCCTCCGCGTTCACCTCTATCTCTATCCTCTCCCCCGAGTTCCTTGGCAACACCGTCACCGTCAAATTCCCAGCGTCGGCTGCCCACGGCGGCGGTGGCGGCGGCGGCGGCTTTAAGTACATGTCGATTCTATTGTCAGGGTAATCATAGACTACGCAATCCTTCAGCAACTTGTGGTCGAGCAATTCGAAACGCGTTGTACGCGATTGCAACACAACCCTATCCACCGGCACTTCGTGCATCCTTTCTTGTTCAAGAATCTTCTCCTTCAGCTTCAGAACGTTGTCGTTCGCGTCCATTTTTATAGGGACACGCTCTCTGCGCGCTGGCACCTTCACTTGCACCACCACTGTATTCTTCTCCTCTTCCCATCGAGATCTCCACCTCTTCCTCGGCGGCGCCGGAAACGCATCCATGACTGCCCTAAATTTTCAGAAAATTCACTTCCTATAACTGAAACTTAGACGGTTAAGTAATTTGTAACGGTATCTAACTAATGTTACCCAAAACCAAATTCTTCATTTCATTTCCCTTAAATTTTAATTTCATTTCTGGACCAACCTTCTCGCGCTTTTCTTTCTGTAAACTTCTGCCTCGGGTACTCATAATATTTTTTTTTAAAAGTTCAAATAAATATATTACAAATTTTTAAAGTTAGTTTTAAGATTTTAAAAATTCGTCAAGAAAACTAACACAACTTAACCAAACTCTAATATTTAAAAAATCATATTATTTTTCGTTTTTTGGGTCATTGATACTGAGAACAACAGGCCCAAAGCTCTCTAACTCTTAACGTGGCTATACTGGTTAAGATTATTCTAATTATAAGAGCATTTAAAAATATAGGCTTATTTAATAATATGTCTACTTTAGTTCGAAAGTATAAATTTTATAATTAAGAGAACTAATAAAAGTCATAATTATTGATTATTTTACACTTCACTTCAAATAAGTGATATTTAAGGTAATTTCACAAGGAATAAGAAAATTAATAAATAGCTTCATGAGTGAAACAAATTTATTAAACTATCTTTATTGGATATTAAAAATTTGGTTCAAATAGTACCAAAAAAGCTAGTCATCGTGTTAATTATTTATTTGGGTAAAATTAAAATATTTTTTTTAAATATTTTATTGAAAACTTAAAACGTAACTAACATGAAATATTTTTTGAATGTTGAAGCATCATTAATTATGAAATGAAGGAAGTAATGAGTATACATATTTCACATCATGTTTTAATCTTAAAAAATTATATTATAGTATTCAGATTCCTGTTTACAAAATTAAATATTACCGATTTTATTTCAACCTAGTTTGACCAAAATAAATAATTTTTTTTTCATGTTATATATCAAATATACAGGTTAAAAAATAAACATTATATTGTATTTAATAATAAATTTTATTAACTATTTAATTAGGTCTGATATATAATATTATTTAACTTGAACATTTTATTGTTGAAAAGTATTTTTATTGAAAAAGATTATAAAAAAGACTAATATATCTAATTTTAGTATTTAATGAAAATGAGAAAGAAATATTAATATTTTTATACAAGTAATATTTATTTTGATTTAAGATAAATATATTATTCATTACAAAAAATGTTAGTCACATATAAAATGTTTCATTATAGATGTAATATATATAAATATAAATTTATTTTAAATATATCCACATATAATTTTAATGTTAATTTTGAAAAAGATTCAAAAATATATATTATATATTATTATAATCTATATTTACATATTTTAAAAATTATGAGAATATAATTATTAATAAAAATAAATTACAGTGAAAAAATATTATATCATTATAAGAATATTTACTGTGGATATGTATAGTGATAAAAGGAAAGAATGTGAAGGCTTTATTTATTTGCATGATGAATGATTATGATTATACATTTGGCAGTGTACATGAAAAATGAATGAATGACATGTATTTTGAAAGTTCTATATAGTATTTACAAGTAGCGTAGCGAGGCGGAGTTATAGAAGCTAGCGTGGTGGTCTGGAAGAGGGTTTTGATGATGATGATGAAGAATTATCAGAAATGTATCCATCAAAGGTTTCAATGGTGTCACCCTGCCTAACATCGTGCCACTGAAACGAATTCTCTTCATACATCACTTGCTGCCTGTGAATGAAAAAGTAGCATCCTTGTTGGGGAAGAGGAAACCCAAGCCTCCGCTGCAACTTGTTCAACTCCTCTCTCAGCACCGCCACTCTATCCAAAACATTCACCTCTATCTCTATCTTCTCTTTCGTACGCATCGGCGCCACCTTCACCTTCACCTTCTTATTACCACCCCCCACCGCCAGACAAGGTTTAATGAACACGTCCATATCACCATTTTCCAAAACCTCGCAATACTTCAGGACATGATGGTCCAGCAATTCCGCACGCGCTGAACCGGACTGCAGCACGATCCTGTCCACCGCCACGCCTCGCATCTCTTCGAGCGCACCGATCTTTTCTTTCACCTTCAGAACGGTGTCGTTCAACTCCGCTTCTATAGGAATGCGATCTTTCGACTTAGGCACTTTCACCTTCAGCGTCACCCTCGGCGGTGGAAGCGGAGGCGGAGGCGGTGACGGCAGTTTTTGGAACTCCGTTCTATTTGACGGCACCTGCGGTATCGGCGTTGAGGATGAAAAGTCCGGCATGACAAACTGATCGAAATCGAAGGACGTCGGAATCTCTGGCACCAACATCCGAAACGGATCGTTATCGTAATCGGGAAGGGTTGGCGGTGGCGAGGGCGTGATGGTTGGTGGTTGGTGCGGCGCAAGTAGGAGCTGAATGCGGGCGCCGTGAAAGAGTTGAGATGTGAAAATGTGGAGATCGTCTTGAACAAGTTGGCCGTTGAAGAAAAAGTTTTGGAGGGAAATGGGAATGTGGTGTAACGTTTGCACAGTTTCTTTGACATGGCGCACTGTGTCAAATGGACCAACTGAAATACACAACTCGTTACCGCCCTCGACCTCAAGAATAATATTCATTTGGAGAGTGGTTAAGCTATGGTAGTTGCACAACAACCAAAGCAACCAACTAAGAGCTAGTTTGTTACTCGTTACGACTAGCGTGGTTTGGCGCGCAAGAATCCTCTTCAGCTGCAGAACGGTGTTGTGACATCCATGTTCATCACTGTAGCGACGGAAATCACTGTCCATCCTGCCTTTATATACTTTCTGAATTGTGGAAAGTTCTTCTGGTCTTTTGGGCCTCCGAGTGGCCCAAATTCAACACTTTAAATCCACCTTTACTTCACAGCGCGCTACATAGCACATTTATGCACGAATACAAAATTTTTAGATAATAGAAGCAGTAATTATTTATATATTTATAATATTAAAAATTTTACATATAACTTTTAAAAGTATAAATATATTTTATAATTATTTTTTACAAGTTTTTATATTTATGTTTATGATTAATGATGAAAATAAATTAAGTTAGATTATGTTATATTATAATTTAATAAGTTTAGATATAATTTTTTTTAAAATATATGTTTTAAATATAATTTATTTATCTATCATAGATATTTTTTAAAGTTTAATTAGAATTACAATCCTAAAAATATACTTTATAGTAATTTAATACTAATAAAAATATAAAAATAAATATGTTAAATTGTATAAAAATCAAGTTTAATTTATTTATAATATAAACATGTTTTTTAATATCTAATATAATATTTTAGATGATAATTTGTTTCAAAACATATTTTATAATAAATTTTTTAAATAGAATATAAATCTTCCAATTTTTTCATTTTTATTCTTTTAATTAACGTATACAATCTTACAATCTTTACTATTTTAATTTTTTTAATCAATGTATACATAAATAAAAAGCACAAAAGGTAAATATATATATATATATGCTGTAAATTTTATTTTATCAAAAATTAAATTTTTTAAAAAATTAATTCGTTATTAAGAAATATTTTTTATCACATGATAATTAATCTTATTTGAAAATTTGATAAGTATCAAATAAATAAATAACTTTTTTAAATTTATATTTTATACATATGATAATTTAAATATATTTTTTTATTTTATTAGAATATAATTTTTATTTTTAAAAATATATTATTTTATTAAATAAAAAAAATGTGTGTAAAATAGTAGGGGACATGTACTCCCACACTCTTCTATATACATCCGTCCTGTTCATGCATGTAAATGTAATCAACAAAATTTTAGTTTTTAATATTATTATCTTTTACGTGACTAATTAACTATGAGCAGCATCTAACAAACACTCGTCATTATTTTCTATTTGATTTAAAATGACATATTAATTATAAATTATTTCTTAATTTTAATAATTAAAGAGACTAAATTGTCACATTATAAAAGCATGACTTCAATCAATTTGACATACAAAAGTTTTTTTAAAAGAATTAACTAATTAAGCATACTATTTACGTCTATTAAACTCTTTCTAGAAAAATAAGCATGAGATGTTTTCAAATTAAAATGTTTTTATTTTCTTGATTTTGTTTACAACTCTGTTGTAATAACTAACTAAATTTCCCTCCTGATACTACTCTTTGACTAACTAATAGACACTATACGAAAGTAACTAACTATGAAGTATTTTGTTTGCATGTAGGTGTGGAAAAGAAGATGAGATGTCTATTCTTGTTGAGGAGTGATTTGAATGGTGTCACCATCTTCAATCATATACCAACTAAAAGCATGTGTATCAGACATGACATAACCCTTCTTCTGGTAAGTGAAGAAATAACGACCGTTTTCGGGAAGAAGATGTTTGTGAAACTTTTCCAACTCAAACTTCAATTCTTCCACTCTGTTAAGAGAATTGACTTCAATAGGTATCTTGTGAGTCCCACCCTTGAGAACCACCATCAACTTCAACATCTTTGGTCCGAAAGCTGCAGAACTTAATCTCGGTTGTTGTGGCAATGTTTTGTGCACGTAAACATGTGAAATATTTAACATCCCACAATCTCGCAGCGAACAATGGTCATGCAATTCCTCACCCGATTTCAACCTCACCGACATCTCCTGCAGTTTTAGTTTCTGACGTGTCTTCATCATGGAAATCTTGTCCTTCAGCTGCAAAATGGTGTCGTCCAAATTCATCTCTATGGAGAAAGGCCTCGCCCTGGAATCAACTATTTTCACCGTGAACTCCACTCTCTGCCGTCGCAGTGGCATTGCTTGTCGCAGCGGCATTCGTTGTGGCACCCGCATTGGCGGTGGCGATGGCGGCGGTGGCGAAGGTGGTGGAGAAGGTGGCGGTGGCGACGGTGGTGGAGACGGCAGTGGTGGAGACGGCGGCGGCAAAGACGGTGTTAACTCTGAGGCAACAACGAGTTGAATGCGAGAATTTACGCATATGTCGGTATCAAAGATGACGGTATCGTTTGAAAGAAGTTGGCCATCGAAGAGAAGGGTTTGGGTAGAAACAGGAATG